CAAAGTTTCGTCGAAATCCCTCCACTGCTCCTACGAAAAATATTTAAAAAACCGATTTTTCGCTAAACTTTGGGGGGTTGTTTCACCCCTTAAATGTAGACCATTGCAGATATAAAAAAACACGTGTCTCTTAGATTTTTGTGTTCTTCAACATATATGAAACTCAATAAGGTCAGAGGCGGACACTTGGGAATGTTTCCTTGTAAGTCGACGCGGGTTCAATGAGATGCTCCCCATCACAACGACGAAGATAACGGAATTGACATTTTTGTTTATCGTTACACTTCCCGGTGCGATAAAACAAAAAATCAAGCCTGTACACTTTGCAAGATTAGAAGGAAAATATCCGTAAAACTTTGATCGAAATCAACCCAGCAGATTTTGAAATATTCGCGCACGTACAAAAAAGGTTTTCGACTTTATCTAATAGTCTAGATAATATAAAACAATAAGTACATTTAATATCCATGTCCGACCTGAATAGAATTTCACACTAAAAATTTCGTTTGTAATAGAAATGAGTTGTAAAACGTATTCCTCCCTTTAATTAATGTTTGTAAATAAAAATACCAATTTACTAAAATTTTTCATTTAGAATAAATCTTTTGATTTATTTATTTAATTATTTAGAAAAACATCTTGAAAATTGAGAAATAGTGCATATATTCCGAGTAACGATTCTCATATCAATACTGATTTGTTAACAGTTTACCGACCGGCGAACTTGGAAGTAAATAGCGATCACAGGTATCGCAAAACCGATTAAGGTGAAGTGAAACATCCTTCAAATCAGTCGATTCGAATACAACACTTTTTTTAAGGGTATTAGACCAAACTGTCCGAAACTTTGACATATAACTTCTTATTTAAGAAATAAATTAATGAATATACCAAAATGTATCAAGAAATGTTGTTAAAACTATGTTTAATTGGTAAGAAACTTGTTTTAAAGATTACTTCTACCACATACACATTTCATCTATCAATAGACATAACTTAATAAAATGAAAAATTAATTTAAAATCACATACGACTACGATTTTTAAAGAGAATGAGAAATACAGTGTAGGTGGCGCCTCTCTTTCATCTGCCGTCGTCGTAGGAAACATTTTGATACTGAACCCTTGTGTGTATGAATGTTTCCGTGAGTATGTAATGTATTTCATACAGGAATGTGTATGATGGTCACATGCAAAGGACACATGTCCACGTACAGAAATTCTGTTGCTTGTCCACTCGCCGTGGCTGGTCGCGTTTGACCACAGTTAAATCTGCTCGCTAATGATTCTGACCAATCGCGCTGTCACCTGACGGCTTCACAAATGGACTTTTAGCATTGAAAATATCACAAGCACGTTTTTTTCGATTCACTTCGTTAAAAATCTATTTTTTCAATTATATAATAAGCTCGACGACAAGTATCCCGGACCCTTTCAAATTATAGACATCCTAGATAATAATAATATTAAGATTAGAATTAGTGATCGAAAATGCAAAATAGTACATAAGGATCGTATAAAGTTAGCAAACGTAGCTGAAACATAAAAAAAAAAAATTTACGCGCACCATTAGTTGTAAACCAATAGCTGTAAACGAAATACGAANGTCATTTACAACTATGCAACTGAGTTATATGTCTCTTCCTCGTCGCCCGCCTCTTTTTCCCGCGTGTTTAGTCATAGCAGACGACGTAACGGTCGTGTCAGGCAGTCGCAGCTCAATCGTGTCGGGTGCGGATCATTTTTTAAAACTTAGATCGCTTGTATTGTGCCTGAAAATTATGCCGCCTGTTAAGATTCGTGCATCCATTCCACGAAACAGAACGAGACAGGGCTCGCATCTAAAGGTCTATTGGAATGAGTACGTATTATTACGTTTCATAAAATAATTATAATATTCATATTCTTTTCGCTTTTCAGTCGTGTAATTTATTGTAATCTTTAGGAGAAAACAATTTTTTCTTAGATACCAACTTATTGTTAAAGTGAAATTTCTTTGCAACGGTTGCATAAGACCAAAACAATGTAACTCTTCTCCACATGACAGTTGGTAGCCTAATGCGCAAGGCGGTAGGCTTTAAATCCCCGCTCAATACGGTTTTTTTTTTTTTTTTTCAATTATTTTCACGAAATGTAACCAAAATACATACGTACAGAAATACTAATAATGAAAAATGATTCATAAATTAAATTAAACATTTGAAATATCAATAATTCAATTCGTTCTTCTGAAATACAGAAATTACACTTTTACCGTGTTACGGGGCGGCCGAGCGGATGGCGAGGCCGGGGTAATTCAGATGAAAATTACCCAAATCTTGCGCGTAACGAATATTTTAAGTTTGTAAGGAGATTGATCCGAGCGGCTAGATCAATTCCTCTGGTGGGATCTAGGGGAGTAAGGAATAAAAAAAGGGGTGCGGACGAATGGCTATGTGGCTATTGTATTAGGATTTGCATTTATTCGTACGTGAGGTCTGAACTACAATCAGCTGGAAGGGCGCCCGAGGTGCCTTGACCTAATTTCTCTAAGTTAGTATACTTCCGCTTCGTGGCGGTTCAGGTGTTGCAATAGCTTGCTTTAGCGGCGGCAGGTTACTGGACGCCGGTGTGCCGACGCGGGAATTTTTACTGTCTTAATGGCGGTCTGCGCGTGATTCTATTTCGCGATGCTGAGATTCGAGCTCAGCTGTTTAATTGAAGTCGATGGATTCTTAATCTATCCGGTTAACCGGAGCAAGGCATGGAAATCGCGATAATGGTTTGAATTCGGTTTTGGTCGGAGATGAAGGGTTAATAAATAAATTAGAATGAAAATGAGGATGAATCGAGCTTGCGAAGGATCCTCTACCTGGCTTGTTCAGCGGCCGTAATCGGTGACAGTCTCTTTTGATCGACCCGGTCGGATGACTGTGCGTGAACACCTTCGTCCCGTGGCGTGCCCTAGGGTTGGAGGTCTCCTAGAAGCCTCCCGTCCAACGGAAGTCACAGTGCCGCCCTCTAGTCCTGACTCGGTGGTTGGATCGCTGGAGTACCGGATGGCGCTACTGCAGCTCGCAGGATAGTGGTCCTTGGCAGGGAGTCCAATGGTCTCGGTCTCTGACTCGCTAGGAACGGAGTACCGGGGACCAGGAGTTCCACTCGAAGTTTCGATGACGACTGACATTGACTTATTGACAATTGACTAAAGACTTCCGACTAATGACATGCCGTCTTGATCGGACTGCTGGTTTTATTAGCAGGATGTTCCAATTGGTGGGGGTTTCCTAGGGCCCAGGTGAGGGTGGCGTTTCTGAGTCGTGCTGATGCGTTGTGGAGTCATCAGGTTGTTTGCCCCGGGTCGGTCGATGACTTTTGGAGCCGTTTGGCCGATGAACTCGTTGGATCCTTTCGCAAGAGTTTCCTAATCGCGTTTCTGTACTTGGACTTCCATGGCTAGCTCCGGTGATTGAAAAATAGGGTTTTTCCCTACGTTAGGGTACGGAAGGTGCCTACGTAACAACCGCGACTGAATTGTAGGTAATCTTTCATTTTTATTTTTTCGTTAACTTTGTATTTAAATTTATACAAGGCATCCTATTTAATTAATTCATAAGAATATCTTCCAAAGCAATGGTCTAATTAAAAAACGTTTCATGTACAAACTTTATGGTTTTTGAGGGCAGGGGGAGGGGACTAATGGAAAATGTAATATTTATAATAGTGGTGTAACAATAAGCAACGCTTGTTCTCTTTTATGGAATTACATTTTACCATTTTTTAATAGTTTCTTCTTTGAAAACCTACAATTTTGAAAAGACCCATTTTTCAACAACCTCAAAGGGTAACTCTGTTTCCTCTCATTTATTGTTCTGCACTATATTCTACAAGAACAAGACCTATGTAGTTACAGATATGTAATAACTAAGCGCCATGAAAACTTGCGATTTCGTAAATTCATTGCTTGTTTCCAAAAGAATCTACTTTTTTACCTTTCTTTAATCCTTTTTCTGAAGCTACTTTTTTTTTGCGTTATCCGAAATGCACCGGGAAGAAAAGAACTTTGTAGCATCCTATAGCAAAAATATTATTTATAATAATAAATTGTTTTTAGTTTTGCAATAAATTGGGAGAAACTGTGTTAACCTTTGAGTGAGTCGAGAAATGGTCCTTTTAAACGTTATAGGTTTTTAAACAAGAGAATTGAGAAAAGAAAAAATACAAATCAACTAACAAAAGAAGCATTGCTTGCTGCCACATTACCATTATAAATACAAAATTATCGATCATATTTTCCCGACTTTTTACTCTCGAAGCCGTGCGACTTTTAGCGAAACTTTTTTCAATTAAATCCACGCTTAGTACAATATTCTAATGAATAGTTTAGAATGGGACACCTTGTATAGCATATTCTGTTCTGATCTATTTATGCTATTGTTTTAAGTAATATATGTAAAATATGAATTACATACATAAGAAAAATCAAATTTATAACGTCTAAAATTATATGCCGACTAAAAGACTGAGTTTTCGTCAGATAAAGTCATGAAAACTAAGGGCAGAGGAAGTCATGAGGTACTCTTTACATCTATTGACAGGGTCACTATAAATGCGGTGGAGTGGTATGATGATAAGGCTATTCATTTGATGAGCACATTTTGCGAAATAGAACCAATAGACATAGCGAATAGATGGGACAAAAAAAATGAAAAGAATTATTGATGTACAACGTCCAAATGTAGTAAAAATATACAATCAACACATGGGTGGAGTAGACTTGGTTGATTCATTGATAGCATTGTATCGAATAAAAATTCGATCAAGGAAGTGGTACCACCGCATAATGTTTCACCTATTAGATTTAAGGGTGGTCAATGCTTAGCTGTTATATAAGCGAGACTGTTCATCGCATTCTGTAAGCCCCGGGCGTCAATATGCTTTATTGAAATTTAAAACTGACATTGCATCCTGTTTATGTCAGGAGTATAAAGGAACCCGTAAGAAAAGAGGGCGCCCTGCTTCAACTGACGTATATAAACAATTAGAAGAAAAAAGAAAAAAGAGACCAAATACCACACTACCAGTACAAAACGTGCGAAAAGATGAAGTAGCACATTGCTCAATTTTTTCGGACAACGGAGGACGCTGCAAAAAGTCCGGGTGTAAAGGAGTTCCGAAAATAAAATGTTCCAAATGCAATGTACATTTATGTTTAACGCCAAGTGCAAACTGCTTTATAGAATTTCGCACTTAAGTTTTTATACACAGAAGTGCAAACATTATAGGCCGTTGCTACCTGAAAGTGACATGGTGAATTTATTGTAATAAAATTATTTAAACGGAAATTTTTTTTTCATCTGCATATATAGGTTTATAATTGTTCATTTTTCGTTTCCTCAATTTTTTTTTATATTTAAAACAAAAATTCGGCCCATAGAGGGTTAAAACGGTTTGTGGTCCCGATACCATACAATGAAATGATAATGCAAGATAATGTGAATGAAGCCGCCCTTGAAACTCCCCGACATGTACAACAACCGAAGAAGAAAAATATCTGCGAAGGGGGAAAATGAAAAAGACACGATGATTCTACAGAAGCAGAGAAAAGCACGAAGACTCCCTAACAAGACGTACCTCACCAGCCGATCATCGACATTCACAAACAACAAGGAATTTCAAGAATAACAGAAGACGTGCTACACCTTGAATTGCAAGATAGGGATACTTCATATGAATCCCTCAACGAAATCTTGCCACAGGAAAGGATGTCCGGACGCAATTATTCATCGACAAAACTATTTTTTGAAAAAGACGACGACGATAACAACATGGAATGGTTAAATGTTGGAGAGGTTCCATCGTCGCAGCAATTGGACCAAATTATTGATGTCTTCCAAAAACCAGTGAAATATGTTCCTACTTCCGATACACTCAACAATACTGTAAAGAAGTTAAGGAAAGAAAATGCTATTCTGAGGAAGAGAACGAAAAAACTCCGACAAGAACTCAAATGTGCTCACGAACGAGAGCATTTATTAAAACAAAAATTAAAGAAAAGTCGCACCAACGTCAATGCATTATTGGAAGAAAAGAAATGTGAAAATCCGGTTGCAAAGACTATGATTAAATTACAGCTGCATAAGAAGAATGCTATATATTCTCAAGAAGAGAAAGATTTGGCGAGAGAAATTTATTATTCTGCCTCAGCATACAGAAGGCTGCAACAAGCTGGTTGCAATTTTCCGAGTGTGTCATCTGTAAGGCGATGGGTTGCAGAATATGATGTACAACCCGGATTTTGTAACAATATCTACCAAAAGTTAAAAGAAAAACTTGCTGCGATTGGATTAAGGACTTCGTCGGGCCACTTTCCTCTGTGTGAAGTAGGGATTGCAAAACCGGTATACCGGGGTACCGAACACCGGGATTTTCAGCCATTTGTACAATTTTGTAATACTGGTATTCACTAGTTCAAATACCGGTTGTTCGGTATTTACTAGAAATTTTTTTAATTGTCTCCACCATATGTTCAGAGGTCGCCAATATAGCCAAATAGTATACGTTTTTATTTTATGTCTCTTTAACTGGCGAAATGAATTAGACTGTGAATACAAAGTTGCATCGTACAGTCTGGAGAAGTGATATAATATGTGAATCACCCAAGGAGGCGAGCCAAAACTGTCCTACTACAGCTCAGAGCGATACTGCACACGCGTAGGATTCGTAGTCGGATATTCGTATCTGTGAAAACAAGGTTGTAATTGTGAAGAAAGTGCGTAATAATTTAGTTAAA